CTGTGAAATGTGATTGTTTTGATTTGTATTTCTCTAATGATTCACGTCCACCACTTGTCTGTCAGTATGTCACACCGTGGTAGCTTGTGAGTTGCTGTGATTCTGAAAGCTATGCCACCGGTATTTTAAATACTAGTAGGGTCACCCATGGTGGACAGGCTTCAGATGAGCTTCCAGACAAGACAGAGTAGGAAAAAGGAATAACAAACTACTTTAGAATATTTAGTCACTGAAAACCTTACGAACAGCAGAGAAACAGTGTCAGATATAGTGCCGAAAAATGAGGCCTTCAGGTTGGAGGGAACTCAAAATGCAACCGGGGAAGGAAGAGCTGCCTCCTCAAAGTAGAGTTGACAGTGATAATGCAAATGGATTACTGATGAAGATCAAAGAACACAGCCTTCACTGTGGATTGCATCTCAATGTAAAGAAAACAAAAATCCTCACCACTGGACTAATAAACAGCATTCTTATCAATGGAGAAAAGATTAAAGTTGTCAAGAACTTCATTCTTCTTGGATCAGCTATTAACACTCATGGAAGCAGCAGTCAAAAAATCAAACAGCATATTGTATTAGGCAAATCTGCTGCACAAGACCTTTTTAAAAGAGTTGAAGAGCAAAGATGTCAGCCTGAGGACTAAGGTGCGCCTGACCCAAGCCATGGTATTTTCAGTAACCTCATATGCATGTGAAAGCTGGACAGTGAATAAGGAAGACTATAGAAGAAATGATGCTTTTCAGTTATGGTGTTGGAGGAGAATACTGAAAAGTGCCATGGGCTGCCAAAAGAACAAACATATCTGTGTTGGAAGAAGTGCAGCCAGAGTGTTCCTTGGAGGCCAGGTTGGCCAAATTTCGTCTTTCATACTTCGGACATATTGTCAGGAGGGACTAGTTACTGGAGAAGGATATCATGTTTGGTAAGGTGAAGGGTCAGAGAAAAAGAAGAAGACCTCCATTGAGATGGATTGGCCAAGTGGCAGCATCGATGGGCTCAAGTATGACAACAATTGTGAGGTTGGCCAAGGATTGGGCAGTGTTTCTGTTGTGCATAGAGTTGCTATTAGTTAGTACTGACTTGATGGCACTTAACAACAAGGATTAAGGTGGCACAGCAGGATAAAAATTCAACAGCAAGGTCAGTTTGAACCACAAGGTCGGTGGTTCAAACCCACCATCTGCTCCTTGGAAACCCTATTCAGGATCGCTGTGAGTCAGAAGCAACTGGAAGGTACTTAACAATAACAACCAAGGATTAAGGTGGAACAGTGGAATAAGGAGCTCTGGTAGCATAGTGGTTATGAATCGGGCTGTGAACCTCAAGGTCAGCATTTTGAAACTACCAGCTGTTCCTCAGGAAACAGATGAAGTTTTCTTCTCCCATAAAGATTTACAGCTTCAGAAACCCTGTACAGGGTCGCTATGAGTCGGAACTGACTGCACAGCACATAACCACTACCACCATGGAGTAAGGAAGTCCCCACTTTACTAGAGGATATGACACCAATTTCCTTTGGGGCATGGTCTGAATCCAATATATAGGAATATTATGGCAAAGTTTGCTGTCTTGTTCTGGATCTTGCAGGTGGCTCATCCCATCTGATCTCCAGTTCATGGGACTTGTGGCCTATCACGTGACCTAATTCACAAGCTCTTGCAGCCTTGTATATATCAACAGCCTGTCACTTGACATGTCATTTTGAGTTTCTTAGATCCTGAGACTCTGTGGGAAAGAAGAATCCTCAAGACTGACCTCTGAACTATGGATTTAGGACTTGCCAGCCTTCACATTTGTGTGAGCTATTTCTTTTGACAGTTCTGAGTTTTGTCAGCTGTTACATCATATTGCAAAAACCTAGGAATGGGAGGGAGGGAAGGACTGGTGATTGATACCAAGGATTATGGAGAGGTATGACAGAGTCCTGGTGTGGTGCTGTGGGTTAATGTGCCAGATTGCAAAGCCATTTGAACTGCAAGATCGGCAGTTCAAGCTCACCAGCTGCTCCTTGGGAAACCTTTTACAGGGTCGCTATGGATTGGAATCGACTTTAAGGCACTTAACAACATGTGACTATGCTAAGATCTGAGGCCAGAATTTCCCATGTGAATTAAAAGTAACTTTTTTTAAAAAATAAAGTTTTATTGTGAATTATGTGATAGTTTACATGGGTATATGGGAGAACATTAGTTTTACATTCATCCTATCATATATTGTTTCATTGCCACGGTTACAATCCCCTCCACGCATTACCAATCAATGAAAGGGTACGTTCTACAAACCTGCTCCCAATCCCCGGTCGTCAGCACACAGGCCCTGTCCCTCCCTGGGTCCCGAGTCCCCAGCTACTCCATCTCTCCATGTCATCATCTCTGCCTCCATCTTGGGGATCATTGTTTCTCTGGGTAGGGTCCTGCTCTCTGCTCTTCTCCCTTCATGGTTCCAGGGACCTCCGCTCCTAGCGTGCAAAGTTAATCACTCCCCTCCTTGCCACAAAATGTCTACTTTTACATTTACAACCTTCACAATCAGTCCTGATAACAATTAATCACCCTTGTATCACAAGAGACCTATCCACATTTCCTTCAATCAGTCCCGCCTAGACAGATTGGATACTACTCTCTGGAGATTCTACCTTCCTGCACACCCTCTGGATCTAGGTTCCCTCTTGAAAGTTTGTAAGCCAGTCACTTCTTGCCTTTGTAGCCCTCCCCTCCCACCCCCATTTTGGATAGCCAATGTCCAAGTTGACCATCCCTGTCCACTCTGTGTATGGAGGGGGTGGGAATGATCCTTGCTGTAAAGATTTGTTCCGTCTTTTGAGTTGCTGCATCTGTAGGTGTAGGTCAAGTTCATCAAATTATATCAGATTACTCTTTTTTTCCTCTTCTTTCTTCTTCTAGTTGCATTCTGATCATCCAGTCATTGAGGCCAGGTCAAGTGGGTATTATCTGCAAGTGTGGGTGTTCTTGTGTATATGCCCTCTTTTCTTATCAGCTGGACATTTCACTCTCCTCTCCAGTCCTCCATGGCTATGTCACTGACTCTGGGTAAAAGTAACTTTTGCTAAAGGGTTTTCTTCAGCAGACAACAACCTGATTACCATACATGACAACACCACCCAGATACCACTCAATCTAGATATAGAAGTATTTTTAAACAAACCCACAAGACTGAAAATAGGGAACTAAAGGTATCAATTTATAGTGAAGTCAACTAAAAAGCAAAAAAGTGGGGGGGGGGAGAAGAGTATAGATACAGAACTTCCAAATGACAAGGAAGTCAAGTAGATTTTAAAATAAAAACTGTTTTATAAAGTAGGAAAAATAAATTA